CTACCAAAATGGACCATAGCTTCCTTCAACGCTGAGGGGATCACCATCTTCCTCAAAGAAGCTGATGTCACCACATGGACCAGACTACAATAACGAAATGAAATGTGTGGATACTTGAGGGACGAGGGGAAGAGATGTTGCCTAGGAAACAACCAGACAAGGGAGCCAGAAACCCTAGTGATTTAAGGGTCAGAGGAAGAAACTTAGGAAAAATCTGCCCTAATTAAGCAGGAGGTTCAAAATGGTTGTTTGCACCTTTAAACTTGCAGGATTCTGTTATGTAGCTGTACAATACAGTAGAATTAGTTCATCTAATCATAGTTCTTGTATAGTTTATCTAGGAGGGACCTGGATCTAACAAGCAGTTGGCTTAGCTGACAGACTGAAAACTCCTGTCCATCTCCTTGAGAGTCACAGAATAAAACTTGCTCTCTTGTTTTGGGTACTGTCCAGTCAGAATCCAACTCTGAGTGAATCCAAGCAATTTTATCTGCCAAATAGCAAAAATATTCCTCACAATAACCCTGCATATGCTCTGCAATCTGTCCCTCCTCAGCAGGGATTTGTTCTCCCTGAACTGGGTTGCTGCGCAGCTACCAGCAAAAACAATAGGAGCAAAGAAAACACAATTTTTCTGCCTTTACTGCCACAATGTAAGCCCTAATATAAGTTCTTACTCATGCTCAATCAGATTCACTCTTCATCTTCCTCTACTAGTACTCCAGGCATTTCTTCTTTCTCCTTTGCAGAAACTATGGATTTTGCTGAAAGGCAATATCCACATCAGCAATTTATCTTCAAAACCAGAAACAAAACCAGAGCCAGAAATATTCTATCATGGTTTACCAATTCAGATGATAAGAGTAAACAAGCACAAAAGAGCATTATCATATGTTAATTGGAGGAAAGAATGTACATTTTAGATCTTTGAACCATGATTGGAGGATTGTCAGAAGCACATCTAGCATTAACATCATAACCTTCAGAAAACTCTCAGCATCCATCAAGATTTTGAGACAAACCACCTTAATAGGTCCACTGCTCTCACGAATATCCAGATTGTTCAAAATGTGCAGCCTGACCCAGGGGTGGGATTCAACTGGTGTTACTACCAGTTCAGTAATGATGTTTTGCACAGTTTCATCTGCCCTGGAGCAAAAACTAATTAAAGCGTGTATCTACCTTTGTGAGCTGGAACTAAGATTACCAGGACAAGTTCATGGTTGCCACTCTAAAGCCAAACCAAACTCCGTATCTAAAGGATGGAGGCTGAAGTCCCCCCAAAACATCAAGTGACCTCAGCATCAGTCCAGGAAGAAAGTCTAAAAGCTTCTGAAGGACAATTGCTAGATAGCAGAGTGGTCAGAACATGTACAGAAGGCTAAGCCCTGGCATGTACAGACACTCACATCCAGTTATTGCCAGAAGTGTGCTCTCACTCACTGCTAAAGTCTTCTGAATGATCACAGCAACACTTCTCCAGATCTTAGCATTGTGGCTACTGCAGGACCTGAAACCCAGGAAGGCAAATCTATGACAGGGCATATCCCTATTGCTATGAAGCCAAGCCTTAATAATACATATAAACTTATCCAACATTAGATCATGACTGGATGCCATCTTAACTTGCATTTTAGCAGCAGCCTGAAACTCTGGTTTTATCCTACCGTGTTTCTCCAACAATACGGCCTCCCCCAATAGCATGTTTTATAGGCATGAAATGAAATTAAGCCCCTCCCCCCCAAATTAAGGCCTATATTAAAACATGCGAAATGGGGGGGGAATGGCGGGGGGGCTTGCCATTACGAAGTACTTTTGTTGCACACCCGGATATGGTGCTGCCTGCGTTGACCTCAGCATTGGTGGGGCACTTCGTATTGGGAGAGCTTCCGCCACTGTTGCTTTCCTTTCTCCCCGTGCTGCCACGGCGTTTAGAATGCCACGGCGTTTGGCGCAGCCACGCGGCGTTTGGCACAGCCACGCAGGGCCAGCCAGGGCTCCCCACTGCAACTGGAGCCCAGCGGAGATACTCGGCTTCAGACGCTCCTGTTGCTGCCTTCCCGGGCATCGTTCGAAGGCAAAGCCCATTCTTTTAAAAACGATGCCCTACTACCAGTACAACCAAGCCTGCCCTGCCTGAGAGGGCAGCCCAACCCCACGTGGGGAGGCGAATCTTCCAGGGCTGCAGCACAGGATCGGCCCACCCCGGGAGAAGTGCCTAGCCGCCACCCCCACCTGGAGCCGAGCAGAGCGCGAAGAGTTTCACCTGAGGTGCCCAGTGCAGCTGACAGGCGGGCCCTCCTGCCTGGCGGCAGAGCTCTGGCCAAGGCAGCGAGTGCTTCCCCGCCAGGCCCTCCGCTCATCCTGCCAGGGCTATGCCGGAGCCGGGCGGGTTGGGCAGAGCCGGGAAAGCAAGCCGCGGGTGCGTTCCCACCTGCCAAGCGAAAGAGCCGGGCCGACCCGAGCTTGGCTTCCCAAGCCCCAGCCCGAAGGGGCCACTGGGAGAGGCTGCCCGACGCAGTGATAGTGCCCACCTGTCCACGGACAGGGAGACGAGGCAATAGCAGCGCTGCTTCCCTGGCCAGCGGGTCCAGCAGAGAGAGCCCAAAGCCGCCCGTCCTTCCCACCCCCCGCCCAGCCCATCCATCCCCACGCATCTCCAAATGCGCCGGCAGCTCCAAATGCTACAGCGGCACGGGCATCGAGCAGAGGCGCTCACTCAGTTCAGAGGAGTACGCAGTGCGGGCTGTCGCCTTGCCTTCCTGTCCACGGATGGGTGGGCGCTATCACTGCTTCGGGGTCGGGCTGGAGGGACTTGGGAAGGAAGCCAAGCTTGGGTCAGCCCGGCTCTTTCGCTTGGCAGACAGGCGCGCACCCGTGGCTCGCTTTCTTGACTCTGCCCAACCCGCCCGGCTCTGGCGCAGCCCTGGCGGGATGAGTGGAGGGCCCAGCGGGGAGGCGCTTGTTGCCTTGGTCAGAGCTCTGCTGCTGAGCAGGAGGGCCTGCCTGTCAGCTGTGCTGGGCGCCCCAGGCGAAGCTTTTTGCGCTCTGCCTGGTGCCAGGCAGGGATGGCAGCTGGGCGCTTCTCCCAGGGTGGGCCGATCCTGTGCTGCAGCCTCAGGAGATTCGCCTCCCCATGTGGGGTTGGGCTGCCCTCTCAGGCAGGGGAGGCTTTGTTGTACCAGTAGTAGGGCGTCGTTTTTAAAAGAATGGGCTTTGCCTTCGAATGATACCCGGGAAGGCGGTGACAGGAGCGCCTGAAGCCGAGTGTCTCCTCTAGGCTCCGGTTGCAGGGAGGAGCCCTGGCCGGCCCCACGTGGCTGCGCCAAATGCCGCGTGGCTGTGCCGAGTGCCATGGCATTGTTCCAAATGCCGCAGCAGTATGGGGAGAAAGGAAAGCAACGGTGGCGGAAGGTCTCCCAATATGAAGTGCCCCACCAACGCCAAGGTCAACATCCAAGCCGTCACCACCCACCCGAGGATGCAAGGGGGGGAATTAAGCCAGACCCGAAAAGATGGCCTAGCCGTTTTTTCGGGCTCAAAAAAAAAAAAAAGACCCGGCCTTATTATATGAGAAACATGGTAGTTCTGTCAGCCATACTTTCCTTTGTACAACATTGAATCAATGTGGTTTCCAGTTCCATCCTTCTTGCACTTGTATCTCTCTGCATTTATATGCTCATCAGATCATAGTATGTGGACCAATTTTGCTACTCTACTGAACCCATCAAACCCAACAATTCTCTGAGTTCCCAGTCATACAATATATAAGCATTACCTTTATTCAATTTCATCAACTGCATTTTCAATTTCATTATTTAAAAAATCCTCCATGTTTCTCATTTGGAGGTTCCTTCCCCTACTGTCACAGTCCAAGAATCCATTCTCACTTAGTGTTTTTACATTGTATTCAGTTTGTTTTTGCTTCTGAACAGATCTTTTGGCCAACAGATTTGATGTTCTGTTTATGCTCTCTATGCACAACCTACAGATCAGGTTTGAGATAACTTTGCAGGCACAAAGTTTTCCAGCTAGCACACCTCCACTGTTCTTACATACATTCCAGGTCACCCATATCTGCCACGTCAATCACCTTTGTTTTTCTAATTAGCTTCTACTTCTGTTACTGCTTTTCACAAGACTCTCCAGTCCATGGCCTCCCTTCTCCAGCAGATGAGATAAAACAGCAGCCATTCAGCCACAAATGGCAGCTGCTGCTTTATCTTATAGTTCCTAAAAGATACCGGCCAAAGGCAATAGTTATTTCTACTTCTGTGTCCTTGCCAATCTTTGCTGTTATGGAAGAACAACTCCATGTCAACCCCAAATCACATCACTCACCAGTTGTTGTTTTTTTAACCATTTTAAAATTTTGTCCTTATTATCCTATTCCCCCACCTATAGAAATGGTTTTATACTATTTAACTTTCTCTCTATCCTTCCTTTTAATTCCAACTCGTCCAATTCTTACTGCCTTCATTTTCTGTCCTATTTTTCTTTCATCATTCATTCTACACACTCATTTCAACATTTAAATCCCTTGGTAGGATGCCATTTCACAAGAAGAATAAACATGGGAAGTTGCCCAAAACCTGTAAATGCTCAGAATTCACTAGACAGTAGGAAAGAATTAGCCTGTGATAGCTGGCCTTGGAGATTTAGGCTAACCCAAACCTGATTCATATTTGAATCTTTTCTTATATCCTTTGGTGTGTGGAAGTCTCTTGCTAAACCTTAAACCAGGGGTCTTCAAACTTGACAGCTTTAAGACTTGTGGACTTCAACTCCCAGAATTCTTCCTCCAGTCATGTTAGCTCAGGAATTCTGGGATTAAACTTGCCAAGTCTGAAGACCCTGTTTTTAGGCTTTGTCTCCGCTTCATCAGTCATGCATACCCACCTCCTTTTACAATATAAACTTATAAGTACTCTGAAATTTTTTAATAAGCAGAAAATCTATGTAATAATAGCAACAATAATAATTTCCAACTTAGTACTTACCTCCAAATAAATCGAGGGTGGATTGTGTTCTCCTCCAAATTTGTCTAGCAGAGCTTCTATATGTTCTTGAGTTAACTTAATCATCTGTTTGATATTCCACACCTAGAAAAAAAATGAGAAATATTTCAGTATTCTTAATAAAATATATTTAAAAGTTTTAAACTTAATATCTCAAATATATGCTGACAACCAATTCACTTACTAATGTTGTTAGCTATGATGTGTGTGCACCTATGCCGAGTCACTACATATATAATGCAACCTAAAACAACTGCTCAATAATTTTCTATCTCTCAAACTTCACTTGTATAGCACACAACAAAACCAGCAATATATTTAGTGGCTGAGAGCAAGATTCAATGCCTGCTCATAAAAGTGCATAATGCAAATGTGTGGCACAGATGATCAAGAGCATGGGTAACTATTGGAAGGTTATAGGAAGAAGTAAAAATAAAACAAACAAAAACCCCAGAAAGTAACTTTGGCCAATTATTTCCCTGTTGCCAAGATCACTATAGAGTAGTCCTCGACGTACAACCACAACTGAACCCAAAATTTCTGTTACTAAGCAAGACAGTTGTTAAATTTCTCCATTGCATGATTTTCTTGCCATAGTTGTTAAGTGAACCACTGTGGTTAAGTTAATAAAATGATTGTTAACTGAACCTAGCTTCCCACTGTCACTGAAGGTCACAAAAGGTGATCACATGACTCCAGGACATAGCAGCCCTCATAAATTGTCAGACATTCAGATTTTGATATGTGACCACAGGGATGGTGCAATGGTCTTAAGTATGAAAAATGGTCGTAAATCACTGCTTTCAGTGCTGTTGTAACTTTGGCTGGTCACTAAATGAATGGTTGTAAGTTGAGGATTACCTATACAGATATATCCATGTAATCATTGAGACTAGATTTGAGAGTCCAAGACATGGATAAATGTGTAACTGTGTTGCAAATAAACTTCTGTAAGAAATAATGTAAACCATCTTATCATGTCTACTTCTATTCTCTTGTCAACTTTAATATGATTATTACTTTGGTACTGTAAAGGAACTATTTCTAAAATACATGTAAAAACAGTAACTATTAGCCAAAAAACAACACCTAAGAATTTAAGTACTTGCTTCTGGGGGAAAAAATGACAGTACACTGAATGTTCATGCAATCACCAGAGACTCAACCATCTGTCCAAATTATGGAGAACAGAACTCTAAAACTATTTATTTATTGGAATAACGTCTTATCCTTCAGTTCTGGTGAGCACTAAAGATGGTTAGTAATTATATTAAAAGAAAACATAGCTTTAAACTGCAGATGAAAATTAATGGAAAAATCATACTAAAATCAATTATTTTAAAAAGCCTGGAAAAAGTACTAGCATTGGTGATGTTATCTAATTTGGTAGTTACCTAGATGATGTTACCTAGTGCAAGAAAACAACCAAACTCAGAGAACACCAAGGACCCCTCATTTCAATCCTGAGCTACAAATATTCTCCTTTATTGGTACTTTCCACATTTTCAAAACCCTGAGAGTGGCCTTCAAACCAAATTTCTGACCGAATGCCATCTCTAGTCCAAGTGCAATGCCTGAGGCTGCCCTCTCCTCCTATCGGGAAAACTGGCCACTGACAAGCAGCACACATCTTTCAGTACAGGAATTATTTTATTCATCTATCTTAGCAACATTTACTTAGTATTAACTTATCTACTACATACTCTACACCTATTCAACTTTTATATATTATTCATGACAACCTCACAGTTGCCACAGCTATCTCTTCTGTGGCACAGTGGTTAGAATGGCTACTTCTGCTGCCTGACGCCTGCCTGCAATTTGACAGTTTGAATCTCACCAAGTCAAGGTTAACTCTGCTTTCCATACTTTTGAGGTCAGTAAAATGAGGACCCAGATTGTTGGGGCCAATATGCTGTCTCTGTAAACTGCTTAGATAGGGCTTAAAGCACTGTGAAGTGGTATATAAGTCTAAGTGCTATTGCTATTTTGAGTCTGGTATCAGCTGAGAATTAAAAAGTGCTTCCACACTAAGAACCATGCTTTTTAGGATGAGTGTAAGCCATCCTTGATCTTTGAGTTCAGTTTTCTATTTGTCAACCTCCATCTCATTCAGATTTAATATAATCTTGTCTTGTCTTCTCTGACACATTAATGAGCTAAGGCAACTTTCAAGGGGGACAAATAGCTTCCTTGGAACCGAATGGGAAACCCAATACAGCTGCTGTCATTAACATACCGATGGCACTGTTTACCAAACTACTCCAACAGCTTCACTTAGACGTTAAAGAGCATGAAGGATAAGATGGAACCCTTTGCGAGACCATACCTCAATGTTCTAGGTATCAATTAATAGTCTCCTATTCTGGGGATGTGGCCCAACAAAAAGGACCAGAAGAATGGCAAAATTCTAGCCCACAGAATTTAGGAAGACCTGGAGAGAAGCCAGATCTTTGTGGTATATGAAAGTTCAATGATTTTACCATTGTTTAAATTCTGTATAATAGATGTTTTATCAGCAACTGGCTAAAAAATAAGGTTAATAATGTGAGGGGTCACATTATTATTATCTTGACTTTTCTTAGATGGCATCTGAAAGGAAAGAAGATGAGCCACAAAAATACTTAAACATATTTTAAGTAGATTCATATTTATTCTTTCCTGGAAATCCACACTGAATAATATTTGATCTTCTTTTCAAATCACAATTTAAGAGCTAGGTTGTCATACTTCATATCATCACACTGTTTTACTGAACTTAATGGTGAAAATGAAGGTTTATTGAAGTATGGCTGTAAGCTAAAGTAAATGTGTGAGAGCCTATAGATTTCCAGAATTTGCAGAAGTCCAGCTCCTAGTTTTGTTGTCCAATTCAATAATCAGTCAGAAGCATTATAAATTTTAAATGTTGCATATTGAGGCATTTTAATATAGCCAGAAAATATGTAAAACAAAATGCAGGGGGACTTTCCAATAATACTTTAAAAACGTAAACACTCACTTTTTACCTCAGTAACTAGCACTGTTCACTTCTACTGCAAGGACATGCCATGTGACACTCTTACCATGATAACTTAGAAAGTAGTTATTTAAATGTCTATATTGCAGTAAACATCGATATCATTATGAGAAAATGTGGGCATTTAGAAAACGGAACAGCTGTTGCAGGAAGAAAAATACTTTAACCCTTAATTATACAAGTGTGGACTACATAACTTGCTTGTTTTGATTCACATGTTTTATTACTCTTTCTATATGCTAGGCAATTAGGGAAGCAAAGAAACCTTTAAAACGGAGGCCTCAATAAATGTGTGGCCAGCAATTTTATCAAAACCTCAATAATTATTTTGTTCAGTGCAATTCATTCTGTTAGCAGTCTCAAATATGTTTAAAAGTATACATAAATATAATTTTGCTTGAATTTTACTGTAACCACATTTACATTGCAAGGTATTTAGAGAAATCCAGAAATAATGCTTTCTATGAAAGGCACAAATATATATTCAGTAATGATTCATATTTTACCCCAGGAATAACATTTGAGCATGAAGAGTTACAGTAATTGGAAGCAGAACAATAAAGTATTAAAAATGGAAATTTATTACCTCCACTATATATCAATTTACAATAAACGTCTTAGGTATCTTAAAGATTCAAGATTTTAGTGATCCATACCAATTCTGTTGCAAGAAACAAAAAGAGTTTACCACTCAGGACCTGTATGACGGGATATTTTTAAAACTAAACATTTTCTGTAAAGAATAAGAAACTCATATTTGAAACAAACTATGGAATTTGCTATGAAATAATGTGCAGAGCTAATTGCATAATGAGGAAATGATGACAATCTGTACTGGGATAAGGATCTTAACATTTTCAAAACAAAGAATAACTTAACTACAACAAATAGCATTACGATTTTCTCAAGAAAACTTTATAGCATCCATAACACTGTATTTTTAAACCTGTTCTCCTTGATATTGAGATAGATACGAGAATTTTATATTCATCCCCCTTATGTAAACCTGTTCTCTTTGAGATTTGAGATAGACATCAGTATTTTATATTCATCACCCTTATATACTATTTTTAGAATCAAAACTTAATCAGACCAAGCAAGATTCTTCTTTTCATAGGTGAACAATCAATGTACACACATAAACAAAGCATTCTGCCACATAACTATTCTACTATTTTCTACATTTCCATTGTCTTTGTAGAATGTGTATGTGAGAGACCATGCCAAATATTCTTGCATTTTACTAAAGTGAATAAGGAGTTAACTGGACACTTCCTAATATGGAAATTGGGGCATGGTTCTAGGAGAAAAGGAGAAGGTGTGAAAAAAGAAACAGTTGACATTTAGGGGAAAAAAGGAAAGGAAAGGACCAAGACATCAACCGCTTTTGTGAAAAGATAACTTTCTTATTTCTATAGCTCTAAATTTCTATCCCATATTATTTGTTCACAGGTTATTATTAAAAATTTAACTGTTTATAAATGGTTGTTAAATAAATGAGCAACACTACATTACACTCCCCTCCCCTGCGTATAACACTACCAGGAGGTGAAAAAAAAGACAAAATTGTAAAAGAACAGACTTCCATCATATGAGGATGGTGGCAATAATATTTAATATTTATATTTATCCCCAAAATAAATGTGGAAGAAATCATGTCAAAATAAGCACAGTCTCAAAACAGCTGGTATAAAAACATAAGTTGGACCAAGGGACTTACAGCCATTGCTATTTAGTCATTGAGAAACACCTGCTTTTTTTCAAAAAGAGTACAACCCCTTCCCAAACAAGTGTAATATTTTCAATATTGAATCAGTAGTTGTTATATTTTTATACAAGTTACCATTTATCGGAAGGGTATACAAGGCACGATGACAAGGTAGTCACATTTTTATATTACATTCAAGTCTGATACAACAATCAAGAGTTTACTGAATTATTAGTTATTAGTTGACTGTTACATCTCCACATCTAAAACACTCATTTTATTAAATAATCGGAATGAGATAAAGAGAATTTATATTTACACACATTTAGTTCAGAGTAAGAATGGCTGTAGGAATTGGGTTTGTCTAATCTAATGAAAAGAAGGACTAGGGGTGAGATGATAGTGTTTCAATATTTGAAGGGCTGCCACAAAGAAGAGGGGGTCAACCTGTTTTCCAAAGCAACATAAGGCAAGGCAAGAAACAACGGATGGAAAGTAATCAAGGAGAGGAGCAACCTAGAACTAAGGAGAAATTTCCTATCACTGAAAACAATTAACCAGTGGAATGGCTTTTAAAAAAGAGACTGGATAGCCACTTGTCCGGAATGGTATAGGGTCTCCTGCTAGAGCAGGAGGAGGCTAGAAGGCCTCCAAGGTTCTTTCCAATTCTATTATTCTGTTCTCCAAAATATATATTTGAATCCTAGACGAAATTCAGTTAGAGAGAATTGCTAAGAAACAACTGTTCACTTTTAATGGCATGATGGACTAGCTCTATCCATTATAATTGCATGTAACAATAAATTAGTTCCCCCAATCATTGCAATAATTTCCATCATGTGCATGGCAGGTTTATTATGAAATAGTAACTGTATACTTATTACTTGAATAATCCTACAGTATCAAGATGAGTTGGCAAGCTTTCAATTACCAACCCAGTTCAGACATTCTTCAGGTGGTGTCAACTAGAAGAAATTCATTCCAAGACATACCGTAGGTTATTGAATGCTCTTGGTCCTTCAATAACTGTCTGGCTGAGCTCAATCAATTTCCAGCTATATTCTGTTTAATAAAGGTTTCCCAAAGGAGACCATCATGGATACACTACTCATAACTATCAAGCTAAATGAAAACCACCAACAGAAGCATCCTGGAAACTTGATAAGCCTCCTGGCTTTGTTGACAAATCAGGGCTAATCAAGTAGATTATCAAACACCAGGCCGACAACATTCCATCAGTGGTACATCCAGACAGATTAATCCTTAGTTACACAGACTAGTTATAGAATCCACATGCAAACATTCTTTAGGCTCCAATCAAGATGTCCTTTTCAAATCATGTACTGCATGTTGTTTACTGTTAGTCCTATTGATAAATCAAGCCAAAAAACAAACATATAACATCACTAAACATAACTTAAACAGCAAAATTATCTGGAATCACATGCCTTTATTACTCAAATAATCCACCCACAGCTTCAAAATAAAAGTAGCTGAATTTATTTGAAAGGCATAATAACCCTGATATAGGGTCATATGGAAAGTATTTATGGATAATTATAAATTGGTTTACCAAAAAAAGCCCTACACTAGTCAATAGGTTTTATCTCTAAAACAACATGAATCAATAGTTTTCCTCAGCCAACTAACATTTGAAATTATACACCTGTTAGTTTAACATCAAAAAACAAATAAGCTAGCCACATAGAAAAGTCTTGCTTAAGGGAATCAGCATGGAATCTGCAAAACTAAATCTTGCCTTACCAATTTCTAATTTTTTTAAAGAATATGATTTTGCAGACAAACATTGTGCACTTGGAATTTCAGAGACTCTTTGCAAAAGTTCCCCATCAAAGGCTGTTAAATAAACTTGGCACTCTGGATATAAGATGATTTGTTATTTTATAAATTTCTAAATGGATAAAACAAAGCCAAGAGGCAGGAAGAAATAGGCATTTTTTTCAAATGAGGGAATTAAGAGAGAATTTTTCAAGAATCTACATTGAGCAAATGCTTTTTAGCTAGTAGATAATTTTGACTGATGAGAAAGGAACAAGTTAGAAAACGATCGATCAAACAGCAAACATGATTCAATTTATCTGTAGAGTATGGTATACATAGGGGCAAAAGCCAATTCACGTTTTCTGTTCTAAAAAACAGGAAAAAAATCCTGAAGTAATGTTGGATATCTCAGTGAAGATGCTGATCAATTTGCAGCAAGATTCCAAGCAAATTCCATATGGAAGAGTTCATCAGGAAAGGAATTGAAAACAAAACTATCAACAATATAGTGCAAATATACAGAAGGGTGGAATAATTTAAAAAAGTGGAATTTAACAAAGTGGAAAAAATGCAGAAGAAGGCAATGAAAATCATCAAGGAACTCAAGCATCTTCCTTACAAGAAAATCTAGATCATCTGGAACTTCAGTTTAGAGAGAAGATAACTAAGGGCAGACATGATTAGTTTGCTTATTACATTTGCGGCCCATCCATCTTCTTTAGAGACATGGTTGAATTGTATAAAATCATACATGTTACAGAGAACCTGGAAGGATGGACAGAAATTTTTTCTTCCTCTTTTAAAACACTTAGAAGCAGGGGTTATCCAATGAAACTTAAAGGAAGATATTTTGAACAGAAAAATTACTTTCCACAGTGCATAATTAACCTGTGTTTATAACCATTTATCAGATGACTTTAAAAATAGTTTGAATAAATTCAAGGACAGGCCTACTGAGAGCTATTAGCCTTGAAGATTTAATGGGACCACTGGGCTGGGGCAGCATGGATCCAAATATTACTTTGCAGAAGAGAGATATGTCTGCTATTGTTTAGTACCTCAGAGACTGGTAAGCTTCTGTGAGAAAATGCTGGATGAATATTGTCTTTAGCCTATTACAGTAGTTATTATTCTGTTATTAAATTATAATTAAAAATATCAAATATATAAAACCTGAAGTAATTCTTAGGGAACTGTATCACATCTAAAAAGATATTGTACTGCTTTATTATACCTTTATCTTCAGGTTGCTATTATTCCTATGGAAATGAAATGATTAGTACAGCAATTGTGGATATTCATTCAAAAAACTCTATTTAAGCTTTTTCCAACCACATTCTGCATATAATTTAAAAGCTATGTTGGTTTCTCCAGAGAAACTTCACAGCACAATACAAAAATAACTGATGCATATTTGGAAAATGAAATTCATACTAAGTAGTTATGCAAAAAGTAAACTGTACCTAAAAATAATTCAGCAAATCACACTTGCATGTATTTATAAAACTATTTTCCTTTATTCCTGCCCCAGTATGTCATTTTAAAGCTAGGTAGTTAGTACTTAGTAAAAATATTCAGATGAATAAAGTATTAATGTTTGCTTTAAAAGGAGCAATACAGGTTTTTGCACTGAATCCAGTTTTGGGTACTAAGAACAATCTGCTACATCTTTTGCCAACAAGAATGCCAAGAGGTTTGTCCCATTTGTGCTAAGGTCCTGTTCAGAGGGCACCTGAGAATGCTTGCTTGTGGGGGAAAAAATTACGCAATCCACTGGTAACTTTTAATGACTGAGTTAGAAAGGTAGCAATTCCACCTTTTTTGGATTCTATAAATTGTTGACAGACAGCCCCACCCCTGCCTGTTTATCTGAAGCAGATACACAGAGCTGGAAGGGACCTTGTAGGTCATCTAGTCCAATCCCACCCAAGCAGGAGACCCTACACCATTTCTGATAAACGGCAGTCCAATCACTTCTGAAAAGTCTATACAAAACACAGACAGGTATCTCTTCTCTTCTTGCATTTTCTTGGGGTAATGCATTAGGGTCAAAAGAAGTCATTATGGCAAGTGTGGGGAAAAGAGATGAAGGATAATGTTATTGACATAGTTCCTGCAGTTACATCTATCCTTGGCAGACAATTACTGCTAAGAATCAGGCAGAGGGAAGGGAAAAAAAGTCTGAGAAGACAAATCCAGAGCATTCTACTGTGTAGCAAACCAAACAAATCAACAATATTTCACTTGGCCTGGTGACAAATTAAACTTTTGTGAGGGTTTCACTACTGTATTTTCACAAAGCAGCTTTTTTCCAAGGTTACCGGGGGCTATTGATGCTGCACCTGTAGCAACAGTTCAGTGGGGGCAGCAACTAACTGCTGCCTTCCCCAACTTGATGCCCTCCTGTGAAACTGGACGAGAGCTTCCACACATCCCTGTCATCCTGCAGACAGCTTAATGGAAACTGCAGTGCAATAAAAACGGGACGGCACCAGGTCGGGAAAAGCTTGTATTAGCTGGAGACGGTTTTTCCTGGCGACGAAGGTTCTGTAAATCAGGCCAGGGAAGTTTTGTCGCCCCTTCCCTCCGGGCAAGCGGGCAGCTTACGATATCGACCCCCCGCTCCCGTCTAAGCATCTCCGGCTGCCTTAACGTCTTGCTTTTGGCCCCAACGCCTCGCAGAGACGTCCGGGGCTTCGGACAAACATCCTTCCCCCGGGTTATAAACTCCGACTCGTTACGCCTTATCGCCGCTCGTCAGCTTAAGCCCCTGCAGACGGGCTTCCACTCTCGGGACTCCCCGAGCACAGAGAAAACGGCGCGCTGAGATGCCAAGCCCGGCCTTGCCTCTCCTCGCCTCCCCCTCCCCGCCACTCCGCGCACCTCACAGTAAGGGAGCCCTCACCTCCTCCGGGATGGCAGAGTCGCCTCCGGCGCTGCCGCTACCCCCGGCGTAGGAGGGTCCGGGCGGAGGCGGCTCGGGTTCCATGTCCCCGTTGAAAAGCGATGCCTCCTCAGCGCTGCCGCTGCTGCTCAGCGCCGCCATCTTGGATCGAAGCGCTGAGGGAGAGGAGGAGGAGGAGGAGGCGGGGGCCAAGAGGGGGGACGGGGAGGAGGAGGGAGAAGGGGAGGCCCGGCCGTGTCGCTCCTCTCGACCCGGCCGCCCCCAGATGCGACCCGTAGCGAAAGGAAAGTGTGTGTGGGGGGGGGAGGGTGGAACGAGGGGTGGGGGGGCACAGAAGGACGGGGCAGAAGAAGCTCAACCAAGCCACCCAACCCTCCACACAGGGAGGCAGCGGCAGCGGCAGCGGCAGCAGCAGCGCCAACGTCACGCCCTGAGCGTGACGTCACCCAGAATCGCCGCGGCGCGGGTGCGCATGCCCAGCGGAACGTCACCAGGAAACACCCTGACATCACGACGCGCCCCCTTCTTACGTCATCAAGGGAAACCTTTAGATGCGAGGAACGGCTTCGCCAGCCCCCACCCTCCACCTGGGCACGTTTGTTAGGAGATAGGTGGCTTTTTTGTTTCTCCGATCGGCTGAATTACACCGTTTAAAAGCGAACTGTGGTAGAACTAGCAGATCTGGACTGCGGAAATTTGGGCGACCCCCGGATGGCAGCAAGTTTTTTGAGGTGTTCGTATCGTATCTCTTTGCTGCCATTTAGCGATCGTCCGAATCTTCGCAGCCCGCATCTAATCACCCCAGATGCTGCTGGAAGTGAGGAAGTCTGGAAGTGCTGCTTTAACTAACGTTTAACAAGTTAAAGCTAAGAAATGAGCATTCTCCCAAAACGTAGAATCGAAATAAGCATTGTTCTGAAACATGGCAATCAAATCTCCCACGCTCTGAAATGAGAATAATATTAGTGAACAATCTGAGTTTTCTTATATATTGCCTCAACAGCCTCCTAGCCTAGTCTCCGTAATTTGAAGAACTGATTTTCAGCTATGTGGAAATAAAACATTTTAGATTGATTTCTGACATGTGTGTCCTATTCTTATGAATTAATGAATATAGTAATATATTATGTTTAAAAAGCATGAAAGTGTGAGAAAATAATTTAGTCACCTAGTTCATAATTATTTCTCATTTCTGTACTTGATTATCCTAGATAAACTATAAACTATTTCGAGATGAATTGCTTATTTGAAAAAATACTGTGTTTGAGGTGATACTTTAAATACATTGCTAAGAAAGTATGCATGCATGCATGCATGTACTGTATGTATTAGCATTTTGCAGATCTTACAGGCTACTCAAGATGCAAATGTCCCTGAATGGCATTCCATATATTAAGTAAAACAATACAGAATAATATCATCTTTAGGCCTCCATATATTTCTGCATACTCCACTCTCTTATCTGCCTGGCAACGAACGGAAAAGTAGCAAGCGATCAAGATATCTTTGCTAAGCAAGAACAGAAGAAAGGAAATGCCAGAGCAAGGGAGAAGAGAAAGGGGGATGGGGGGAGGTTGCTGATCAAGGTAGTGGTTGTGATGATGAAGAGATTGAACCAAATGTTGGGCCATATTGTTCTCAGTGGTTATTCCACCAGGTCTTTGGGAAATACTAAGAGTTTGTTTCTGAGGAAGCAGTTGTTGTAGTTGTTTTTACTTAATAGAATTCATTAATTTGATTATCCAGGTTCTGTATAGCCTCCAAATATTTGGATATTATTTTTATGCATGGTTTTATTGTATTGTTTTACTTAATTTACTTAATTTAAATTACTCTGGAAGACACCACTCTTTATTCTGTACCTTTAAATGTTTTAATAAACAAAACAAAATGATAAAACATACCTTGCAACCTAATGATGCAAACTTGAGTCTTTTGTACTTGTAATCTCAACACTGGACAAAACCATCCCAATCACAGCTTTGCATTGTGATGATATGACATACATTTTGTTACTTTCCCTCTCTTGCCTATGCATAGAAATGGATGGAAACTTGTAGGCAAGTAAGGATGTAGGTGGTATAAATGTGTGCAAAGGTAGATGCTGTGGCTGGGGAACTGTTACCAATCTTTAGGTGGTGTACCAGTTGTAGCCCCTACCTATAGCATGAGACCCTGGGGCAGTAATTCACACATTATTCCTCTTGTACTCATATGAACCATTTCAGTGTGCTAAACATAAGGTTGCTTTTGAAGTTAAAGCTGCAATTTGTACAAAATATAATAACATGAATATTGACCGGTGAAAGCCTATATGCTACATAACACTTGTGCTAGAAATGTAAGAGTTCGTCTTAATGCCCTATATGCCTTAAGATATTTAAGGGCTGTTTTTTCCAGTGAGAACCTACCATCCTTAATCCAGGTGGCAAAGCTTAGGATACTTTATTTGGTCAAGTGAGATGCAGGGAGCATCCGGAATCTCCCCAAGCTCTTTCATAGGCATTTGGAATCTAATAACTTACATGGTTGTACATTATCATAGTTGCTTTTCTATTATATTGTGTAATATTTTATTATGTTTCATTGTGTTGATTTTGAGTAAACCTGCAACATGTTGGTTGAAATAAGCATCCTGCAAGATAAATAAACAAGTAACTTTTGGCTCTATTCAGATACATATTCCTATCAAAAAGTAGGCTAATCAACCAGCACTATAAGGATAGCCTGAAAGATACACGTTTATAGAAATATCCTTGTATATATAGATTTTCTGTAGCAGAATTATTTTTTTGCATTGGTATATCTCATTAATGTACTTTTTAAGAACTGTACTCTTTTTACTATTTAAAGGAATATTTAGGAATCTTTTAGAAAGAACTCTATGGTTTAGTTCAGGGGTGTCAAACTCAAGGCCCAGGGGCCAGATCCAGCCCACAGGATACTTAGACCTGGCCCGCGGGACCACCCTGGAAACAGTGAAGGACCAGCCACAGGGCCTCTGTCAGCAAAAACAGAGCTTGAGAGGGCTATGTGCAAGAGGCAGTCACAGCTAAAAACAGAGCTCGGAAGCCCGTTTTCGCTGGCAGAGCACTTACGCCACCACAGGCGCTCTTGACATGAGTGATGTCAAGCTGGCCATGCCTCCCCCTGCCCCCAAGGTCAAATACAAACCTAATGTGCTCCACAATGAAATTGAGTTTGACACCCCTGGCTTAGTTTATGCATTTTTGTAGCATATTGTGGTTGGTTTGGTTGTGAATGAACAAATCCAATTGTAGCTTAGACAGACCGTGTCAAAGGCTGGGAAAACACACTGCATAGTGTTTTGCATGAATATAAATCCGAAAGGGGAAATTTATGACTTTCCAGAAAATAGCAGACTGCAACTCCCATAATCATTTATTTTTGAACACGATGAGAAAGAATTTAGCAGAGCTTCTATTCCCCAATGTATATTTCAGAATTCCATGATTAAAAAAAAACCCTGCATGGTTTTTTTCCTAGTCAACACTTACCTTCCCTCCTGACCAGAGAAAAAGTGGGTTGGAAAGAATGTTTGAAAAATGCTGAATATCAGATTTGTCTTCTTTTAGCATTGTAAGAAATTTGGGAGTTCTCTGACTCATAAGAGTTGGCATATACTTTTATGACTCTTTCTTGGTTATTATGTATGTTAATACAACTCTCGGGAAAAACATAGCAATAAAAGATGTATATGTGATGTCAAATTATATTCCAACAATATGGAAGTTAATATTTAATGATGAACCCTGGGGTTAGGAAAACAAAACTACCCTGCATTGGTAGAATAAAATCTGCACTCCAGATGTTAAACAAAAAGCTCAAGAAATCCACATCAAGTTTGTCTTTAGATAATGTCTTTAGAAAATGAAGTTATATGCTTAATGTGGTCTAGATTTAATACTATTAAAGAGCTTAACTAGTTTAAAATTACATGGATCTTGTTTTAAGTTTCAGTTTATTTTAATCATAAACAATGTATCACTTTTTCTAACTGTATCACAACTGTTGCACTATTTTTTAAAACTTTATTGCATTTGACTAACAAATGTTTTTTTTTACAACATCTACCCATGATGCAAATACTAGCCTTACATGGGTAAAGCCAACTGTATGGAATGCTCCCATTGACAACTTATCCTTCCTACTGACCAGAGGGAAAAAAAATATGTTGGAAACACTGAAATGATTGGACTTACCTCTGTATTTTTGGTATTTATGTTGATAAGACAAATTACAGTGACATCATAGGGCAAAGATTACAGTCCTGAAATGGCAAGAACCCTCTATTGGATGGAAAAAATCCCCTTCAAACTAAAGTACTAAATAAAGTCACCACCTGTTCCAAGATGTTTTATTAAATAAATTTTTGGCTTAATAATGCTTTTACTTCTTCAGAGCTCTCTTTCCTTCTCCTTTTTTGGGGGCTCCTTTTCCACGTAGCCTCCTCAACCGTTTCATCTCATCTTTAAAATCTTCATGTTCATCCCTAAATCAAAAGGGCAAATGCAAGGAATGAGTCAAAGTTCATGTTTGCTTTATTTAATCTCAAATTAGAATGATGTCCAGTTTTAACCAACAGGAAAGCTGAGATAAAGCAACATATACTATTTAACATTCTTAAATGTTTATGTTCTGACCAAGGCTTCCTGAGACTGTAATTAAGCACACGCTTAGTCCAAACAACTCTTGTTTTATTTCAATGCTGGGAATTATGCTCATTCCCAAACATAATGAGTCCCAAACAGTCTCTTGAGATAAGCACCCACCTTTATCTCCTTTGAATTGCTGCCAACAACTAAAGTGCCAAATTAACTATAAAAAACCAACCAAAGTACAAAGTCCAGAGAGAGCTTCAAGGTTTAATTCAAAAGAGCAAACAACTTTGCTTCCTGCAAAGGTTTCTCTACCTTTGCACCTTCTTTATACCTTATGGGAGGAGCAATCACCTCCCAGCCTTACTTCCGAGTCTCCCCTTTTGCCTCTTGCCTTCTAGCAGCTCTGCGTATATGCGCACTGGGAACAGGCTCCCATGGTCCTCTGCCTTGGTGCTGCCAGACTGGAGGCTCTGGAGTCAGCACACAACTCCCAGATGGTCCTGGCCCCATCTCTGCATCGGACGGAGGACCCTTGTCCGAGTCCTCCCCAGACTCCCAGGCTGGTTCCCGTTCTTCCCCATTATCTGATTCCACTGCCATCTTCACAGGCTGCCAGCAAACCACAACAGTTATATACCAAAAAAGCTAATACTATCCTTGGTTGTATAAACAGAGGCATAGAATAAA